GCATGGCTGTGCCCACATCATTTAAAACATTCTTCCTAGTGAACACTCAATGACTCAAGAAACATTATTTCCATTATGCAACAAAGGGTTGCACAAAGAAATGCAGTTGTTGCTCAGTCCATTAAGTTGCATTAGAAAAACATGACAAAACATTAGTTTTGAATTTGCAGGAGGAGGACCAATGGCTACCTTTCTGGGCAAATAATATAGCAGGCATTTGCAACATTAAACAAATTGACATCAGAGGCAAACATTGTCCATCACCTCCTGAGTTTTACCTAGGTGATGTGTTAAAAATATAAATGAAAATGTCATTACTCATTAACGATTCAGTGTCAGTTTTGAGGAGTAATTAGCTGTGTCGTCATGCATCACTGGCCCCTCCAAATCCATGTCTGCAAATCCCAGCATCGTGCCGGTTTTATTCCACTCCTAATGAGCCATATTATATTAGATTTATCTCATTAAACACATCATTTGTAATGAGCATAGGAATTTGTTTGTTTTTTTGTGTTTACTCGAAATGCTGTGTCTTGTGTGTATGTGCATGGTTTGGATGTGTGCAGTTAAACTTACCATAAGACAATCTTACTATGTTATTGTTTATACCAATGCTTTTTTTAATGAAAGTTTTTCTATAATCATAAAACCATTAACACTGCTTTCACAGTAGGGCTGAATGAGATGTTGAAATAATATTAAAGCATTTTTTTTCAGTTTGTCCATTGATCAAACATTTTCCTTTATTTCTGTATTGTTTTAAAATCAATTACTAATGATGTTGTATGACCAACACAACATAGGATAGAGTCCACATGTATATACATTTGTCACATATAACTGCTCCTGCATGTAGGTCAGACATACGTGTGAGATTAAATGAGATGAATTGTTGCAGATGTGAATAACATATTAAGCTATTGATTCATAAAAAACATAATTAACAGTAATAAATACAATATAAATAATGATACATTCAAGCCTATTAAACATGTAATTTAATCACTATGACTTTTTAGTAAACTATAGAAAATGAACAACAAATCAATACAGGAAAAAGCAGCGGTGTGAACTGTAATATAAGAAAAAACAATATGAATTACTGACCTGGCTTCAGTTACAATAAAGATAACTGAAGTGCAGTAATCCTTAACACACTTTTTATTTATTGCAATACAAATCGATGAATGACTCTCCCTTTTAACCCAAATGGCCATAGACCTGTACACATCTGAGGCTAGAACACCTACAATACAGCACAGTGTGTCTTTATCATGCTGTTATTGTTATATTCTGCACACAAAGCATGGCATATGTTACAGAAAGACTGTTACTGAATAAATTGTCTTAGCAAATGCTTTAAAATCTAATATGGATGTTCAAGTTATTGTATATACTCTTATTCACAGTTCTCTTTGTTTGATTTTTGATCCTTCATATTTGTTTGCAATAAAAAAATTGCATTCTACATGGCAAGGTCGGTTTGAATTCGATGACATTTTTAATATAGTACATTACCTTAATGTTTGAAGTGCCTTAAGGCCTCCTTTCAATTTCCACCACATAAATAAAGCTATGGTATTGTCTGCTAATTCATAGAGGCACATGAACACACAAAACTGGCTTGCACATTTAAACATGCATTATACACAGACATGCTTATATACTGTATGTGTCAGGACCACCCTATTTACAACCATGCACTATTTATGGATCTACTCTGATCATCCTGTCCTCCGCTCTCCCCTCGTCCCCTTTCGACCTCTCTTCCTTATCCCTGTGGTCATTTGTATTCATCCATGTCCATTTACTGTCACCATGCTTCAGTTACAGCCTGCTGTGAGCTCTTCTCTCGCTTTGCTACTCTACTCGTTTCCCCCTCTCACTTTCCTCTGTCCCTCTGCTCTGCATCTCCCCAACCCATTTCCTCTCATCATCGCAGGCTGTGTGCAGCTCAGTAAATAACAACTATGGCCAATGTTACAAAATAAGTGCAACTGAATCACTAGACCGATACACAAAGACTACGATTCAACAGCTTACACGCTTGCATGCACACATTTAATCAAACGTTCCTGTCGATTATTCTGATGGATTCCTGGCTAGAGTCTATATTACTTCTTTTATATTTCCCTGGCTGGGAACCCAGTAATAACTGAAGACTCCCTGAAGTTTTAGCTGACGAGGTCATTACTCAGTCTGGACGCACACTGGTCGAGTCATAATGCTTTGAGAATTGCACTGCTGATCATGGCAACGTTAATATATATATACAGGGTTTCCCACACATGGACTTTTACATTTTACATTTACTTTTTCTTTTAATACATTTTTTTATTCGTCCGCGAGCACAACGCCATCTGGGATCGATTAACTAGTGGACAGTGATCCCTCGCTCTACGCCTCCTGTACCTGTTCGCTCTGCTATCGCGTGAAGGGTTCTGCTAACAAGCGACTAACAGAAAGGGAGACCTTACGAGAAACAGAGAAGACGCCCCCCCCAGATCTGAAAGTATATTTCAGATCTGTGGGAAACACTGATATATATATAACAAACATTTTTTATGCCTCTGATTAATACACCTGATTTCATAATGATGAATGTGAAAACACAACGCACACACGGCTGCATTTACTGCCCACAGGCAAAAATAACCCAATTACAGATTTGAGTTTAAGATCTACTACACATCTAAAACTGTAACATTGGCATTGGCTCTTCCACACTGTCAGTTGTTATTCCTCTTTTCTGTATGTGCTATCGTGAGATGTATGTATGTGTGTGTCGATTCAGGCCTGGGGAAGAGGATGCAACCTTTGACCATTAGTGGAAGAAAGGGAATTATACACAGTCTCTGTCAGGGTCACTATAACAACTATGCTAGCCAATTAACTATCTATAAGATAGCCTCACTGCGGCTGAGACATCATTACATGTCTGCAGGAAGCTCTACCTTGATAATAATGAGAGGGTAGAGAAATAAGGATGGAAACAAACAGCAAAAGTAGGTTAAATAATCAGTTTGACTAAAATAGGAGAGCCTTAAAAGGGGAATACAAAATACTCTTTAATACTTAGAATATGCGGTCCAACGATTCAGATTTCAGAAAACAAAACCATATCAGTTCATGAATATAAATATGAATAGAACAGGCACCATTCAGTACCGTTAAAGTGAGTTTGAAAGGGATTTGCTTTGATGACACACTTACATGCAAGACAGGTTTCAGTTTTCCCTCGTGAGCCAGTGCTGGCTTTTTCATTTGTGATGATGAGCAGTGATAAAGAACTATGGTTCATTTAATGACTGCCTGCCACATCTGATGCCATTTGTAAAAAACCTGGAGTGGTGCTAAGATTTCAGCCTCAATCTACAGTTGTTGAGGAGTGGACTTGTTCCATTTTGCATTCACAAGGCCAGCAGCTTTCACCGCGGGCAGTGAGTCATCCAAAGCAAAGGCTCCGTAAATGTTAAAACTATAAAGAAAAATGTCACTGCTCAAAAGGAGGAGAACACAGTGCTTCTTAACTGCCTTGCTTGGTCAGGTTGATAATTATATAACAGAACTTCATATAACTGAAATTGTAATGAAATTATAGCTGGAGTGACCCCACATGGCCTGTGCTGGAAACAAGCCCTGAACAAACTGTGAAACATATCCAAACCTAACAGGGTGTAACTGCCGTCCCATCACTGTGGGACCTCCAGCAGCCGGTCCGGGACACACCAGAGTGCTCTGCATTTTTAAATCAACCTGCATGTAATTGTGTTCTGCATCCTTCTGATAACTTTCTCTTTTCAAGAACATATTTCTACACAAATGCTGCCATCTATTGGTCAAACACCTAAAGATAACTCTGTGCTTGACATTGGATTCTCCACCAGAAACAGTTTTAAGACTTTGAGGTTATGGTACATTTCTCGCTCATTAAAGAGCCTGTTAAGCATTGCTATCATATCTATTTGATAATCTAAGGCACTTTCTTCCATCTATTACTTGACTATGACAAATACATAGTACAAGGGTTAGTGACAGCTTATAACGGAACATTTGAAATAAACCATCCTGTAGTATAAATGTAAACCCAAGTGCAGACTTTTTAGTGCAATGACTGGAATAATCTGCATGCCTGAATAAATAATAATACAGTTTTTATGGTAAAAAATATTCACATGGATTTTTTAAGTTTCTGTGTGGAACCAGGGTGGCCTGTGGTGCGCCATTTTCCTCTATGGCTCAAATAGGGTGAAGGAAGGCTGCAATCAAGATTTTGAGAAAGTGATTGCTTAGTTTTTTTAAATATATAATGTAAATATGCATGTATACCTAGATACATACAGAGATATTTGCTCAAATGCGCAATCTATTTTACAAGTGCACAGAGATTTCGTAATATAAACACTTATTTTAAAATAAACCTTTTCTGAACTTCCGGCAACGAGGAATGGAGTAGACGCGTGTTTCTCCAGCTCCCACTACTTTTAACACACAACTAACTTTTAAACCTCTTACCTGTAAACAACGCGGGGATTTTTGTTTAATTGTTTTATTTATTTTACGCATAACGATCAACTTTCCGTTGAAACGGCTAAATGGCTTCGAAAGCAAGCAAAAAGGAGAAGAAAGACGAGGCACCGGCTACTGCCGTAGCTAGCATGGCGTCCTTGGTTAAGCTACTGGAGGAGCACCGAGACGCACTTTCCAAGGAATTTAAGTCGGCTATGACTTCTCTGGAAGCGAAATTAGACTTTGTCCAGGAGACAGTCACAGACCACGGTAACCGCCTGACCTCCCTCGAGGCTAACGCGAATCAGC